ACGTTGAAGGTGAAGGTACGGTGGCACCGCGAACTGCACAGAAATGGTTCAAGCGTTTCAAAAATCAATAAATTTTCATAATAGCCACAAAACCAGATCAAAAACACAAAAAAAAATATATAAAAAAATCATTATTTTAACACGCCGCACGAACTTTTTCCTCAACCTAATATTACAATTACAGTTCAGTTTTTAATGTTCAAAAGTTGTAAATTCAAATGAAAAATAAAAGCTTATGCCCGTAGAAGTGACGTTAGTGACACTGAAAATGAAAGAATGGCGTTGCTAGTAGTTTATTTGGAGAAAAAAATCAGTTTTACACAACCGGCTGTTTAAAAGAGTACAATAGACTTCTTTTCCGATGTTACAACAAATGTGTTTGTTACACTGACATCTTGATCAATTCGATTAGTTAAAACGAGTATAGCTAGCCGACGGCTGCATAGCATGAATAATTCTCCAATGAGGATTTGTCATTCTCTTTTATGTATATCACATATCATATTTCTCTCTCTCTCTCTCTTCGATTGTCTGCTTTTAGCCGCATAACAAATAATTGTCACTAAGACCAAACAACCAAATACTTCATTTATTTAATTTGTTCAGTGATTTACTTCAATGTCTAAGTGTCCATTTTATAAACTCTCAAAAAATCCATAATCTTCATCTTCTAAATTCAGTTTCATGTAGTGTAGGACAGTATTTGCGAAAACTGATAAAGTGGTATTCAAATAAGTTTTTATTTATTTTTTTCTGCAAACTTTAGATATACATTCTATTGGATGTCTTTCAGACTCGTTTTAATCGGTGGGGGACTTCTTGTGGGAGGTTATGCTACATACAAACTTATTGCCACTCCATCTACCGGTAGGCATCTTTTTTTGTAATTTTTTTCTCCTTACTATTTCAGATGTAACAGTTTGTTGTTATGTCTACTATTCGGACTCGATTTAGTCATCCACTTGTTCTTGCGGCTGGGGTCGTTGGCCTCGGTGGAAGTGGAGCAATATATATCATACATTTTATAGCTCGAAGAAAAGCCAGAGGTGCGCTAATTTATTCTTACCTACGTTTCCCTCACAAAAACTGTGCAAAAACGATTAAATTTTACATTGATGTCTTTTGTTTTCTTCCTTTAGCTGTTTTTACTGAAAAACCATTTTATAATGAAGCAGTACATTTAATGAAAGGCTATAAGCCTATTGTTGAACAATTAGTAGAACCATTACAACCATTGAAAATTGATACATCTAACAAATTCAATACACTAAGTTTACTTGGTGCACAGGTAGGTTTTACATCTATTCTCATGCTTTTATGTGTGTATATCAAACCTCAGATGATGATGCAGTCTTAGCAATAATAACTTTTACATAAAGGAGGGTCCGTACACATGAAAAGATAGTACTAAGATTAAAGCTCCGAAACTATCTGTATCTGGTTCTTAGCTGATGAGATGCAAGAGAAGAGAAGAAGTGATATTATGTTTAAATATGTGCTTTTTTTATTAAAATAAATCAGTATTTTATCTTAAAGAAATGTTTATTTTGGCATAGACCTTTGTTGTAGATTTGTTCATTTAAACAGCAATTATGCAGCATGACGATGTTATCTGGAGTATATTAAATGATCAATTTTGGCCATATAAACAGTAAAAGACGAGAACACAATTGTTTTGTGCAAATGAATATAAGTTAACTGGTCTTTGTAATCGTCATTCATGTCTATTGGCTAATTCACAATATCCTACGGTTCATGAAGAACGTGGCATTTGTTATTTATATCTAAAGGTTGTTGAACGTTCACAGTATCCCAAAAAAGAATGGGAAGCAATTAATTATACGAAAGTTACGTGAAAGTATTAAAAGAAGTTAATGATCATTTGTTATATTGATCACGATTTATTCGACATAAATGTAAACAACATTTGACAAAATTGGCACAATAGACTGATTATACGCACAAGACGATTAATGTTAAAAAAAACTGGACAGCTTGAATTAGTACCTATCAAGAAAACATACGAAAAGAGTGGAAAAAAACATGAAATTAAAGCGTTTATTGCAGCAAATATTGATCGTCCCATTGAAAATGAATTGTTAGAACGTTTAAAAAAAGGAACATATGGTGATACGTACACATTTCCAGTGACAGCCATTAAAGACAGTTTGAAAGAAGAAAGAAGAGGATGGGAAAGATTATCAAGTCCAGGATGACGACAAAATGGAATCAGAAAATGAGGAAGAAATAGAATACATCGAGGATTTTAAAGAAAGTGAAGCATCTGATGTTCAAGATATTACTGAAATGGAATATGAAGCAGAAAAGAAGTATAGCGGCAGCCAATAAAAAAGCGACAATTGAAAATCCAATATGAACCAGTAACAAAACCAGAAGAGAAACTAAAGCTGTGACAAATGATTGAATTTTATTTTTCTCTATTATTTTTATTCGCCTCACTTTTCTAACTGTATCTGTTTGTAGTCTAAATAAACGAAGCGTTATATTTACTATGATTACTAACGTGATTTGTTGAAATCCTCGTTGTCTTTACCTTCGAAAACTCAGATATTACTTTCTTGATCTTGTTTCTGTAGCAAACTTAGCGGAATATGAGATACAGATAGTTATTGATATATAAAGTACTATTTTATTCTACTTAGATAAATTATGTTTCCCTTTTGTTTAGCTTCAAATTCCTGTTCGTGGAGCTCAACGATCTGGTATATTATTTTGTTATGCGACACGTGATTCATTAGATGAAGAGTGAGTGTCAGAAATAAATACACTGTAAATATCAAATATCTGTAAACTTCAGTATCATCGTTGTTTGCCGATAATTGAGTAATACAGAACATTACACTTTATTATAGAACTGTTTTTGTTTTGTGCTTTAGTTGGCATGTTGATAGACTAGAATTTAAATCAAATAGTCAACCAAATCGATATTTATTCTACGATCGAAGTTTACGTCGAGTACCATTGCCATCGGATATAGAATTGGCAGAATATACCAAAAAACTGGCGGCCGGTCAATCATTAGATGTTAAGAAATTATCAGAACCATCTAAGGCACCTGTTGTGCCACTACAAGCTGCTACCAAATGAACAGTGAATTAACAAAGAAATATAATTTCATTCAGAGTGACATTTTATTTTGGTTTATTTACTCTTCTTTGGTTTTGAACAGCAATTGTGTAAGCGTATTTTTTTGTGTTTAAATTTGTTTTTTTTGTGTGACATAGACTGAAGAAAGTAGGAAAATACTTTTTTATTCGTTGATTAAACTCTATAATAAACCATATCTTCTGTAAATTACGGAAGATTTCGGTTTTTGCTACAGCATATTCGAGAGTTTTGTAAAATACGTGACAATAGCTGTTAATTTTGATGCCTTTGCGTGTGTGAATAATTTTCAGTCCAGAACGAGTATCTTTATTTGAATAGCACACTTCAATCAAAAAACAAATCGGAATAAACTTCTTTCTTGACTTTGAAAATGGATAGTAATTTATTTTGGAAAAATTTTTTACTGTAAACACATACTAATACATGATACTAAACAATAACTTTATCTTGGACCGAATGCTAATAGTGTTTGAAAATGATACTGATGCAATACAACTAACATGTATGTCGTATATGTATTTTTAGATCTTGTTTATCAAAATGTTTCGTATTTCTCTCCTTCTTTCGCTTTACACATTGATTCAGTCGTATAACTGGACACAATTAAATTTACCAACCGAACATGTACCATATTTTTTTTATAATAATCCGTTACTACGATCAACGTGTATAAACGAAGGTAGTGTGTTTTGTCCATATTATGAACAGGCCATTGATAACAGTACTAAATGTTGGGGATATGAGTCAGATTGTCAGATGAATAATTCAAATCGATCGTTTCTTGTTCAATGTCCCGATGATAGTCGTGGATGGACAACATCGAAAGAAAAACAGATACATGAATTTTGGCGTCAAGGTGATTTTGGTTATATAGCTGAAAAACGAAATGAATTACGATCATTTTGTACACCGATCGAAAGTGATCATGATTCATCTTCTCTTGAATGTGTTGACCATATACGATATTGTCATGCTAAAAATATTTATATTGATTTTAAAAATATACAAATTGAAAAACATTATGATCGTTATCGAGAAGATATTCTTGAACAAGGTGATGTTGGTGGAAAATGTACGTTAAACAAGGATGATTTAACGAAAAATGGTGATCAAAAATCACCGTTACAATCATGGTACTCTGAACTTCGTGTATTTACACCACTCAATGATAGTTCATTATTAACGAAAAAATGTGATATCATTTTTGATAAACCAACGTATTTAATCAAATTAGATAGTAGCAATAATATGTACCATCATTTTTGTGATTTTATCAACTTTTATGTATCACAACATATGAACAATACATTTTCATTGGATATTCAAATCATTTTATGGGACACTTCTAACTCAGATTATTGGAGTTATTTTTCTGATACATGGAAAGCCTTTTCATCCAATCCACTCATTCATTTAAAATCACTTAATCGAAAACGTGTTTGTTTTAAAGACGCTGTCTTCACGTTTTTGGCACGTATGTTTTTTGGTCTCTATTATAATATGCCATTAATACCGGGTTGTACAAATACAAATTTATTTCGTTCATTTCAACAGTATGTTTTACATCGTTTAAACGTAAAACAATATGGTCCATTGAAATCAAATCTTATTCGAATAACACTGTTAAATCGTACAACCCAATATAGACAAATATTGAATTTTAATGAAATTATCCAACATTTGCAAGCAAAATCAAATAATGAATATGTAATTAATGTTGTTGATTATAATATGAATGTGCCATTTCTTCAACAGTTGAATATTACTTATAATACCGATATATTTATGGGCATACACGGTGCTGGTCTCACACATCTCTTATTTTTACCCGATTGGGCAACAATATTCGAGATATATAATTGCGAGGATAAAGACTGTTATTTGGATTTAGCTCGACTACGCGGTGTCAAGTATTTTACATGGGAAAATGGTGATAAAGTTTACCCACAAGACGAAGGTAGACATCCAACAATGGGAACACCGCACAAAAAATTTACGAATTATGCATTTGATGTAAATGAATTTGAAAGAGTTGTAAGAAAAATGGTCAAATATGTCAAGGAACATCCAGCATATCGCTTAGCTAAACGTTTGAAATATAAAAAGTTAGACGAACACAAGGGTGAAGAACTTTAAGATATATTTCACGCAAGAATGAAAATGTTTCTCTTTTCTTTTCTGTTTGCTCTCGTTACCTCTGACATCTATTGTTTTCAGATAAATCATACCGAACCAATCTCAATACCGAAATGGTGCCATTTTCTCGTTTTTCCAAAATTTTTGCTGATCATGACATTTTTTTTTAAAAATATCATGTAAACTTTATTCTCATCAAAATTGTTTTTAGACAACTACTCAGTGATAGAATGATATATTTTCCTTTTTTGTCTATGATACATTTTTTATACTTATATTATAAGTAGTTTGCATCTCTTTTGCTTTTTTGGGTAATTTTTCGTTAGATTTTTCTTAGTAGCTTTTCGTCGTTAAGCCAAAAAACGAGATATTTTTTGTTTTAGTTAGTGCTTCCGATAGCTTTACTGTACTCAATGTTTATGAAAACGGGCTTTTCATCTGACTTATTTTTGTTTTATTATTTATTATTTATATTTCCGGTCAAAAGAATGTAGTTATAACTAGTTATTCATCTAAAATATATTATTTGTGATAGAATCATTCCATTGTGTCGACGATTTGTTGCTTGATTATTATGGTGCTTATGAATAACTTGTTTTTGATTTTCTTTTACTTATTTTCAACAACGAGAATATTTCGTTATAGTTAGTATATGTAGTGGAGCTGCAATTTATTGTTTCAGTTTCCCTCCGGTGGGTTTTCTTATTTGATGCAATTAAATAGAACTACTTTTTTGTTATTTTATTATTGTTTATTTATTGTTATTATTAATAAAATTATTGTTAAAGTAGAGTGGGAAATCTCGAAAAATATTTTTTGTCTTAAATTTATGAATTGCTAAGTTTCAGAATTATTTATCCGTAATTTACGGAAAATAAAAATTTGTCTTTAAGACAAATCGCGTAAAGTGTTTTTTTTTCAAAAATGAGATTAAATTAGCCAAATAGGCGACTTACAAGACTTTACAGAGTAACAACCATCCATCGAACTTCGACGTCCTTTAAGTGCTGAGTTTTTCTCGACATGACGCATCCACCGGATACGTAGATTTTTTATCGGGCCAATGATTACTCAGATCTGGATATTCGCGCCTTTTTGATACCATCGCTTATTATTTTTGTATAACTCGATGATAATATGGAAGTTAAGATGGAAATTATTTGTGTAAACTCATAATAACATTCTCTAGTCATTACTAGGAAATGGTAGGTATATACTGCATAGGTCGGGTTTTACGTTCAAAATCCGAACCCAAATCGGTCGATATTTTAAAAATTGTATATCTTTAAAAACTAAACAACATCAACGAGTGATTATTTTATCAAATTAAAGAGCACTGTATGGACTCTCATGCAGAAAAAACTTCAAAAAAGCTTTAAAAAAAATACAACCATTCTTAACCTTCATAGTCAAAAATAGGGGTATGACAGTTCCATATCAACTCCTATCATAGGAACTGTTGAAAAGTTCTTTTGAAAGGAGCTGATATGTTCGAGCAGCTCACTAGTCGTCTAGACAAAGTTTAAACGTCCCGAATGTTCATTAGACGTTCATATCAGCGAAGTCCTGCAATCATAAATAGAAGCATGTAAAATGGTCAATTTTTTATTCCTCAGATAAGTATGGTTAAAAAGTAAAATAAAAGAAGTATGATCTTTGTAAGAAAAGCAGACTAAAGAAAAGATTAAAGTTTATCTTTTAGGAACATTGAATATTTCAAGTTTTTAGCTGAGGGAGAAGACCGTGTTTTTCGAGCAACATAGCCTGCGATTGAGAATGCGCTCTCAGTGGGGACTGAGGTTGCGGGTATAGGACCGAATCGACGTGCCATCTGGTTCAATATTGGAAGTAAAGTTGAATGTTTTCTCCAGTTAAATGTTCTTCCGTAACGGAGAAAGCTTTTGACAAGCGGTTTGCACCAAAATATTGTCCGCTCTCTCCAGTATATTTGCAGAAAAAAATGGTTAGAAATAACGGGTGTTCCATAAAGAATGGCACTGTTTGTATTTTCACTTTTCTCTGTCAAATTTAATAGTTGAGACTTGAACATTTTTTTTCAAAAGATAGCCTATTCAATTCTATACAAAATCATATGAAGAGTTTCTGTAAAATACAATCGTGATATCCTATGCAGCCAACACTAGTATGCATCCGAAGAGACCCGTTACAAATACCCTTTTCCCTGAAATTAATTATCGTGCCCCGTCTGGCACGAAGACGCCAAGTCACTCCAGTTTCCTATGTTTTCGACTGTGTTCTTTCTCATAGCGCTCAAAACAAGTTGGTCGAATTAGATGGCTAATGCCCATTTTTCTTGAAAACTTCCTTGGATTAAATGAAGGTTTCAATCTCGCATTCTCTCTATTGTAGAAATTTTATTTTACACCTGTTTAGACTTCTCAGGATGACAAAAGAAGCATTTTTCTTCAAAGTGGTAAAAGATTTAACCATTACAATTACGTTTTGATCCGACTACATCGTGGATGAACAAATTTAGCAGTAAATTCGAAAAGAGCAAAAAGGTAGAAGAAAAAGGAGGGCGATCTTCATGCTAGTTTAAGCATCAGAAGTTTTCAATTGCGACTCGTCTCATAGAGCTTTTTTATGGCTATAAAAGGCATATTCAGCCAGTCCATATTCAGTCAAATAGTTGGTGTGATATTCAGAAAACGCAACAGTCAGTTTGAAAATGTACCTTTTCGGGGGCACGTCTGTGTTGATTGCATAGGATTTCACGATTGTATTTTACAGGAACTCTTCATATGATTTTGTAGAGAATTGAATGACCTATTATCTTTTGGGAAAAGTTCAAGTCTCAACTGTCAAAATTGACAGAGAAAAGCGCAAAATACAAATAGTGCCATTCTTTATGGAACACCCATTATTCATTGTTGCTCTTTGTAGGTCCATTAGACTGAAAAGTGAACTTTTTCAGATCGGCAAAAATTTTCCCTACAGTTGATAAAAACCTTTTTTTACGTTGTATAAGCACGGATTAAATATGCGCGAGCTGCATTTTGATAAAAAAGAAATTTTGAAAAGGCTTTTTCGGTTAGGGTGAAAACGAGATTTTAAGTCAAAAGTGTCATACTCTCCAGTGTGACTACTAAATCTCAAGAATGAGTGTGCAGCTGCATAAAGTGAATTTGTACAAATATAAGTGGTTACAATCGGGAAGTATTTCTATCACTCATTGATACGAATGAGAAAAATGTTCACCGGTGGGCAGAGCCGTACCCAGGGGGTGGGCACACAGGGCACGTGCGCACCCCTTGGGATTTCACTACATTGTATATCTGATAATAATATTCAAAGACTGAAATTTTTATATGGATATTCAGACTAGTAAATATGAGTTTTTTCCAGATGCCCACCCTATACCAAAATTCCGGTTATGGTCTTGATGTGAAACCGCCGTGAACGAGTTTTAACGAGTGTTCACGATCAAATTCACGAAAAAAGCGACAAATTAACTAGTGTTCACGCTTCATCGATACGTCTCTTGTGACTGTGCACGAGGAGTCACGCGTGCACAGCAATGCTTCATGAAATAGTACAAAAAAATTCCACGCGTGTTCACATTGTGGTGAGGAAATTTCACATGGGAAGTGTGTATTCTATGAATGTTCGGTATTTTCCTTCGTAAATGATATTCTTGCTTGCAGTACTCGTAAGAGAGGTGATTCAAGATTCGGTTTAACATCTGGAATCCTGTTAGAGAACTGTGTCATTAGATTTTTTCTAAACTGTCATTTTGTCATTGGGACACTCAAAAAAAAAGAAGGTAAACAGCCTCTTTTATTAGACTATTACATTTACAAGATGGATCATGCACGAGACCTTCATCGAATAAGTCACTATTCAGTTGAGAAAATCCGACTCTAAGGCGACAGTAGTGAATATCAATCCCTAGTCGACTCTCCCTCTCGAAGTCCCCGGGGACTCTCCGAAAAATGTATAATCCCTGGGGAATCCCGTTACGGAGTCTCTGGGGACTTTCTTAGGGAGTGTCGATTAGGGATATCTCTGCGACTGATTAAAGGTAATTTTGAAATTGATTTTGCTGGAATCAACCGATTTTTAAATTTATTTAAATTACGTAAGCCTTGTCTCAAGCGGAAGTTCATTGTACTCATGATATGCTCGGAAGATTAACGATTCATAAACTATATTCAATCGGCAACGTTGAACCGGAACAAGCTGTCTATCTCGACTTCGTAATGAGTATGTAAGAGATGTAGGCGGTGTCTGAAGATCATCTGTTCTATATTTAAATGAAGCTTCCAAGCACCAAGTCACGGATCAATGATGGGTGATGACTAAGTCCTTGTTTATTTGATCCACAGCCTTGGATAACTCATTCCTTTTTGTAATGCAATACAGAGATACATCATCAGTGAAGCGTTTCATCATGGAGTTAATGTAATCAGCGATATCATCAATAAATATTAAAAACAACAATGGCTCCAGGACCGAGCCCTGGAGCACCCCTCGATTGATTCATCTCGCCGATGATGTAACACCCTGCACTGTAGTTGCAATCTCCCGCTTAGCCAGGTAACTGGCAACCAGTTAATGAGAGATTGAGGAATTCCCTTAGCTTTCGGTTTTAATAGCAAGCCCTTGTGCCTTATAGTGTATGGCATACACTATCAAATGCCTTGCTGAAATCAAGAGACGCAGACAACACAGGCTCGTTTTGATCAAAGGCTATTAGCATCTCATGTATTATGGATACTAGTTGCTTAATAGTAGAATCATTCTTCTGAAATCCAGACTGGTTTTTATTCAGAAGTCCGTAATTCACGGGGTACCCATGCACTTTTCGATGTACAATACGTTCTCAATTTTTTGATGAAATCGGAAGTAAAGTAATTGGTCTGTAATTACTAAGACTATGATAGTCACCTGATTTAAATATCACAGTAACACATCCAAGTTTCCAAGACTTCGGAAACTGTTCACTTATTAGCGACTCATTAAACCAATAAGTAATAATTGACGTTACTATTGCACCAGCTTCTTTCAATATTCTATCAGAGAGGCCAGGTGCAGTTGCCTTACTACAATCAATTCTCTTTAATAATTCAAAGGCTTCGGATTCATAAATGTCAAATGTTGACATAGCGTATAGTAAAGATTTTGGAATAAGGATAGGGTAATCATTCAGTTCACTTGTTGTCATTGTACAAATGTTAGCAAAATGTTTATTTAGTAATTCTGCCTTTCCGGGCGGCTCAACTACTAATTCATCATTTATTTTATCTAAAAGAGGTGGAAAAGTACTGTTTTGTTTATTTAACGTGTTTTTAACCATAAGCCACCATGATTTACTAGATGCGTTTTTGTTTGTTGTCAGTATTCTAGAACGGCAATGAACTTTGAATAGATAATGTTTTCCCTCACTTAGCTTCCTCAATTTATCATTAAACCATGGTGTATCGTTTGTTTTAACAGTTATATCTTTATGTGGGATGACTGTATTAGCCACTTGTATTTTGATTTTGTGTAACTAACAGAATTTCTAAATTACAACATTTGATTTTCTGTTTGTGTATTGTATGAGGTAAATTTCGGAAAAATAGCGTGCTCAATGCTCATCAATGTTTGATATCAACTTATTGAAATATCGATCCGTATTTATTGATTCTTTTCTAGTGAAGAAACTGGAATATGTATTGAGGATGTGATACAGTCATTAATTAATTTGAATACTGAACGGCAAGAAGAGCCACATTGAAAAAAGAAAATAACATCCAAACAACGAGATGATAACAATAACATATCATTTCTTATCGTTGATACTGACAATGTATTAAATATAAAAACGAAAATAATCATGAGAAAAATTTATTCGATGCAAATTATCTACGTTTAATTGGACATCGAAGATAAAAATCAAATTGATTTCTTACAAGTGTTATTCGTTGAATCAAAGCATATAAATCAGAGATCGAAACGGCTCACAAGAGTCTGTCCCAACCCGATGTGTTAAGAAATTTTTCATGATTTTATTCAAATGAACGGAAAATTTTTCATGGGGACAACCCGACAATAACCCGAAACTGAAAACCTGTTTCTCTCGAAGGTATATTGTTGAGAAGTATAATCATTATTCACTAAATGTCTTTTTACGATAAACAAAAGACACTTGTTCGAAAAGAAATGAGTCAAACGCAACCGACAAAAATCTTCTCTTTTGTTCTCTCGTGATTTAAATAGAAATCCGAATTTCATTTCTTCTCTGACTCGATCCGATTTATTCTCTGACGTAGAAATCGGATGTGTACTACGGCTTATATCTCAATGTATTCTGAATAAAGTTACAATTTTGAATTTATAGGCAATGTGCAAATGCAGAACCGATACGGAAAGTTGGAAATTCTTAGGCGATCTTAGAGAAAAGCAACAATCTAGATGAGTTTTAGTGATCTGAATGAGGATGATGAGTGTCCTCGCGTTGCTCTTTGTTTAATAATTTTTAAAGTAGGCGTACGTCGTTTCATTCCTGTTGAATATGAATTCGGTGACAGTGTATAATGTGAGGGTACTGGTGCTGGCAAGACTATTTGTCGCGTTGATACTATTAATGGTGAATAGATCTCATTTAATTGAGATAATAGATTATGAAAGCGTACATCACTGAGGGCATTTACTTGTATTATATTCGATTCACGTTTTGATAGTAGATAAAGATCATGAATTTGAAAACGTGTTCGTCCTTCTTTTGATCGAAAATCTTTGCATGAATGTCTAGCAGCTTGTGTCGTTGGTGAATCAAAAAACATGTGAGCGGTGATTGTTTTATTCAACAGACGATAGACGGATAGATTAAAAATTATTGGTATTTCTTGAACAAACGTTGGTCGAGCTAAATTCAAATCAATCAATGGTTCAATTTCTTCGGTTTTCAATGGAAAATGGACACGATCACTTTTAAATGGTTTACGTAGAAATACCTCGGCACCAATGAATACCAATGGTATATTTTTCGTTTGTTGATTAATCGTAAACTCTTTAGTATGCTTGAATAGAAATATGGTATTTGCATTTGTTTCCAAACTTCGATTTGAATAATATCCATGATTAATGTATTTAACACCTGGATAGACAACACTCGCCGAAGACTGAACAATATCAGTCGATATCAAATATGTTGGTTGTTGTTGTTGCTTCAATGTAATGGTAATTTCATCTTCATCTTCTTTAGTTCCTGTTTGACTCCCATCTCGTAAATTGTCCGTCGTTTTAATACCAGTTATCATTGATTTTACGACAGTTAATCCGCTTGCTTTTCCACTGACACGTCTTTCATTCTCTAATAACAGTTGTTTACTAATTATTCCCTTGAGCCGTTTTCCAACTGGTAAAAAGTTTTGTTTCTGTTCATGAAGAAATTCTAAAGATGGGCGTATGGCAGTATCGTTACGTAATGGCACTTTCTTAGTTCCAGTAGAAATTGGCGAAAGTTCGAATTGTATTGTTTTCGATCCTTGCCTTTCAAGAACAGACTTACTGAAAACAAAAAATTGACAAAGAAGAGTAGCAAAACGATATCATCTCTAATCAGCCATCGATGACTTCACCAACTAAACGTTCAGTTTTTATCAGATAGGAGCCAATGTTTTTCAAAGTTTTGTATCAACGAAAACTAAGTCATGTAATAAAAAATGATGAATACTCTACATTGGATATTAAGATAATTATTCGCTTATTCGTGTATCAACTTTTCGACTTACGCTCGATTTTGATTTCGTTGTATAATACAGTCATGTTTAATCGATCGTAGTTTCGTGACAAGTTCTTGCAACGATGTATTGTTTTTCGAGTGTAATGTATCATAAGAATGATCATTGTTATTGTTGTTTAAAGTACATATTCTCTGATAGAACGATTTACGAGATCGAGTTCGTAATGTATCGTATGATATGTCTGTTATTACCATTTGTATATAGTTGAATTATTCAAATGAAATGAAAATCTTAGAAAAATGTGACAGCCATAATTCAACAACCATATTCAAAGATAAAAGCAGCGAATCATTTTTATTAAAGTTGTCCACATACGGATGAAAATATTTTTGATAAAGTTGGCGCTCACCATTTGCCAACTATAATGAAAGTTCCGTTAATATTACAGCATATCTTTCTCTTAAAACTATATAACGTTCTAAAGTAGTTAATATAAAAAATTAGTCGCTTGTCTAATTTAATTATCATACCTCCTGAGAAACATAGATATTTTTATGTTTCCAGGCTATTATCTGATAACATGAGAGAAAAATTAATCATATTTTCGAAACATTTCTCTACTTTACCATGAAAAAGTTGAAGAAGTATAAACTTATCACTTCTTGTCACATGGTAAAATCCATTTTTAAAACTTTAGACTGATTTTTTCTTATAACTTAGATACAGTTGTCTTCGTATCTCATTGAAACAGAAATATTTATTGAAATTCATTTAAATACACATTGTTTTCTTGCGAAAGGAAAGACAGAAAAATGGAGAAACATCTGGTTAAACGAAAGGCTAAAATAGAAGAGAAATTTGTAAAATAACCCGAATAATAACAAGAATAAGGACAACAACAACAACAACAACAATAAAGAAATGAAAAACTAAATGAAGAATGCATATGGGGTATATACATTGCATTTTTGGGTGAGAGGAGATGTTGTTGTCAAAATTCGGCAAATTCTTTTTCAAATAAATTTGTCGATGATCTTGTTGGCTCTTCATCTTCAGCATCGGGAAAATTATTAATCTTAATATCTGGCTGCCATGATGGACGTACTTTTTTCAGAAATATTTGTATAAAATCAATATCACGAAACCATAAATGTTTTTTAATATCATTCACACCATTGTACATTAATCCTAAACGTTTTGTTAAATCTTTTTGTAATAGACCACGTACAATATCAGTCAACTCTGAACTAAATGCTGAACGTGGCCGAAAACGTGCACTTATGATTTTATGATAAATTTTTTGTTGATCAGCATCCCAAAATGGTGAATAGCCAGCATTCATTTCGAAGATTAATACACCCAATGCCCAATAATCAACTGAAAAAGAAGAAAAAATATACTTGAATAGCAATGATGATTGACATTTATTAACTTACCACCAATATTATAACCACGTCCAAGAATGATTTCTGGTGCCAGAAATTCTGGTGTACCTGAAAGAAGGAGAAAATAATCGATAGTGAGCTTGGAAGAGGATTTCTCTATCCAATTCTATGGTATTTCAGGTATAATAGATCTGATTTCATCCAATATTCAAAAAAATTTTTTTATAACTTTTTACCGATACACTTTAAATATCTACTTTTTATTTGTATCATAGCATTTCTGAAAACATCCACCTATGACCGTCATATACAGAAGAAAAATATCAAATAGTTTTACAGAACAGATTACAGATCATCGAAAATCTGTAGTCTGTATGAACTCTAGCTCTATCTAACTGTCAAAAACAAAATTGAAAATATTTTGTTTTTAGACTATGTGTTTAAAACAGATCGATAAGTACAGACAGAACTGAGAAAGAAATAGCAAGAGACAGCAATCATATGACATACCACATAAAGTATAAGCTTTGCCCCGATCGATTTTCTTTGCAAAACCTACAAAACAGAAATTGAACATTTAGAAGATATGTTTGTTAAAAAACAATCAAACGTGCTTACCGAAATCACACATTTTCAAATAACCATGCCGATCAATTAAGAGATTTTCCGGTTTTAGATCTCGATAAACAATGCCTAGAGAAAAGAATGAGAGAAATTTTTGTAATAATATTTCGTAAAGCTGAAGTTACTAATTTAAAAATCAATCTACTATTGCTATTGTACAAGTTGACATGAATGCAGAATATATCTAGTCCTTAAACTTCAGAATCAGGTAGCGTATGACGCTTGTCATAGCGTAAAAACTGAATGGGATATTAAATATTTCCTCTGTCGGATAAACGCTTAATATCGTGAAAAAAATTCAATTCGTCAGATAATGTAGGACATCTATCATAGTGCAAAACCATTGACTATTTTGAATATGATAAATATAAAGTATCAACTGGAAGGTTTTTATCAAACTAACCATTTGGTTTTAGCCACGAGAACTATCTTTTCGTCAATATAAAAAAGTATTAATCACTCCGACATCACTTACCTAAATAATGTAAATATTCTAGTGCAAGTGTTATTTGTGCTGCATAAAATTTTGCTTTTTTTTCATCGAATCGTTCAGCATCTCTCAAATGTCGAAATAATTCTCCACCTTCAATTAATTCTAACCCAATATATAAGTTAGCATTGTCTTTAAATGAAAAATAATATTTAATTATAAACGGAAAGTTCAATGCTTGTAATATGCGTTTTTCATTCACGACATGTTCTTCTTGTTTCATTTTATGAGCACTTTTTTTATTAATAATTTTTAATGCAATACGATACGAGGTTGATTTAATACTCGTATCAGTTAATGATGATGGTGTAATGAGATAGTCAGGTAACGGATCTAGTATACATTTTGCTTCTTTAACGGAACCGAATGCTCCACGACCTAATGGTCGTATTATTTGAAAATCACGATAAACAAGTTGATATTGTTGAGGTGCCTCATATTTTTTTCCAAAATCTTCACGAGCTTTTGTATAACAATCAGGTGAAACCGTACTGTTTGTTTGTTGACCAGAAACGCCGCCCATAGGCGTATAACTGAGTAAAGCTGAAACAAAACAAACACGTTAGTTAATATTTTTATTTTTATTTTTTTTTATAGCAGTCCAACTGTATAACTTCTCAAGCAGTGCATGAATATTTTTATTACAGACATAAGAATAAATGAGGGATATCTACACACGAGTACTGTCAAAAAAAAATAATGTTGCCTTAGTCACGGCACACTCGTGAATATTATCAAGTTGACCTTCTTCGACAGATCGAGTATGTTCGATGTTTTAACTACACAAAAAGTATATAATTCATCCAGAAACTATGGTAGTAATAATTTATCTTTTTACACATACTCTAACTCGTTTTCTTATTTAGAGATATATATGTGTGTGTGTGTGTGCGTGTATGTCAATAAAGCAAATTACGTTCTTGTTATCTTCGCTTATTTTGTGGAAAGTTAAAAAAAATAGTTTATACATGAGTTTAAAACAGGAACATATTATTCATTATACTTCAAACAATGGCTCTGAGCCAACAATGTTTTTTTGACAAATTAAAGAAATTTATTATTATCAAATGTACAATCATTTGTAAAAAAAGGTTAGTATTTCTTAACGTATGATCTATGGAATAACAAAAATTAACTCCACAAACAAATAGACGTCTACTCTTTTTTAACTTAATCTTTTAAGGTTCAGTATTAGAACAAATTTTAGATTAATCTTTTGATGAATATTTCTGAACATTCATAAGGCTTTGCAAAGGTGAGTAAACATATCACCGACAAAAAATTAAAATTCATTTAGAGTTAAAGCAAAGCGCTTTTTCGTATTCAGCACACTTGATAACCTGGAAAATTTTCTATTCTTAGCGAGGGGTATCGTCAAAAAGTTAAGAAAAATTTTTAAAATTGTTTAATTTTACCATGGAGATTTTTCTGCGTCAATTTGTTTGAAAATTTTTCTTAACTTTTTGACGATACCCCTCGCTAAAAATAGAAAATTTTCTAGGTTATCAATTGTGCTGAATACGAAAAAGTACTTTTCTTTAACTCTAAACAAACTTTAATTTTTTTTATCGGTGATATGGTAGTCACTGTTATACTATTATTAGAGAACTAACGAAAATGGAGATATCTCTTTTCGCATATACACTATATTCGACGACAAATGCGTCAGATGTCTGTATTTATTCTTTCTGCTGTCTTTCTTCTGTAAGCCCCAAATGTGTGGCAACGTAGTACAGGATATATCTTGTGTGAATAGAGATATCTCCATTTTCGTTAGTTCTCTATTATAAACTAACAAGGGAACCTCTCGAGGTGATTAAAAGCATTTCGACTCAGACTATTTTCATCATGTAGGGAATAGTCAGTAGTGAAAAATCCCAAGTTGGTTTGGGCCCATGCGCCTTTTTGACGG